GGTTACGGCACTGCGAGAAGCCCCACTTGTTGTCAGCGGTTCCGTTGTTAACGAACCCACTAAGCCGAAGAAAACCGAACAAAAAACCGCTCCTTCTCGTTCAAGCTTATTCACGATCTTTTTCGTTATCTGTTTTGCATTCTCGTTGCTGTTTTCCACTGCACCCGTTTATTCTCAATAAACTAAAATCAAATAAGTATAAAAATAAATAAATGTAGCCTTTAAAGAACATCAACCAACAATTGAAAGAATTAAATTTCACGTCTTTTCATCTATCTCGCTCTCGTTCATGCTCGCTTTCTCGATGAAGCTCATGCATGCTCTCGCTGTACGCTCTCGATCAAGTTCATGCACGTTCTTGCTGTACGCTCTCGATGAAGCTCATACACGCTCTTGCTGTACGCTCTCGATGAAGCTCATGCACGCTCTCGTTGTATGCTCTCGATCAAGCTCATGCACGCTCTCGCTGTACGCTCTCGATGAAGCTCATGCACGCTCTCGCTCATGAACGCTCTCGATCTAGATCATCCTCGAAGTAGCTATCCATATCCATTTAACGCGCTAATGATCTCCTTCTTGCCTTCACGCCCTGTCTGTCAGCTTCTCTCCCTCCACGTCTAAAAATCAACAACCCAGTAAACAAACAAATAAATAACTTATATGAGAACAAGCCCAACGAAACATTTGAAAACAAAGACCGATGGATAATGGAGTTCGAGCATCGAGAGTCAGTCGCCTGTAGATGACAGAAGCAAAACAACCCTAATAGTGAGAGAGAAATGGAAGACCGATAGATGCTGGAGTTCAAGCATCGAGAGTTGCCTGTAGATGAGAGAAGCAAAACAACGAAAAGTAATGAGAGAGAAATGGAGTGTTTTCAAATAAGGGAAGGAAAACTAAAAACTTTTGGTACCCAAGTAAGGAGGGACATTGAARGTCATTTGGCAAAGTAGGTGATGTCAGCAAGTGACTTGAAAACTTGTGTTTTGAGAAGGGCGATTAAAAAACTTAATAGGCCCCTACAGGAGGCTTATTTTGTCAATTTCCCCTATGGTTTTTTAGGCTAGTTTCAATTTGGCCCTAATAATTTTAAAATCTCAACCTTACAAATCATCCTAAGTATTGCAACCGCTACGTGCTTCCATGCCTGCTTGCTGTTTTCCTTGCCACGCACCCACAGCATCCCAACGCTTCTCTCTCACGCACTTGCGCACCTTGCCATGTTTGCACGCATGACCCCCTCAGCGCCCACAACGTGTCCTATTAGCCCTCACATGCTTCCCCTTGTAGCCATCGCCTTGTTTGCCGCCTGTTTCATATCTGTTAATGCAGAAATTTGGCCTTCGTGGATCTCGCCAAATTCGAATCAATCTTTGAGAAGAAAAGTAATCGACAAGACCTGCAAAACTAGCACTAAAGACTGGTGTGGTAAAGTCAGAATCAGAGTAGTCGACTATAGAGAGTAGGATATTTCAGTGTAGCAAATAGTAAGGACTCGTAGCATACTCAACTATGAGTATTTTACTTCTATTTATACATGGAAAAGCTAGTATCACTAGGATATCTTATCGAGAATCCTGAGGCCATCAGGATATCTTGTCCTTTTGAATATATGATATCTTCTCCTAAGACCATCAGGATATCTTCCCATTTTGAATTCCTTAAATAAAGAGAATTTGAATTGTAGAAAATAGGGATTTTCTTATCCATAGCAATAGCCTCCACTCTAAAAGTTTTTGAAGATAATGAGTTATTCAAAATGTCAGACTTCTGCTTTGAGAGTATTTTGTCGTTCATGGGTTGACTATTTTTATAGAACAGCCCCCATATCATTTTGTCGAGTTGGCTGTAGTCAAGTCACTTAGCTCTGCCATACAGTTAGTTTTAACTGTTTAGGTTTTTTTTGTTAGCCTTGAGATCTAAGTTTTAGCTCTGCACCATCATTCGGTTTCTAACCTATTTGGCTTTTGCCCATGATTTTATACCCTTGGTTTACCCTCGGGTTTCTAACCAATTTGGCTTTTGCCAATGGGTTTATGCCCTGAGTTTAGTCGACACCCTTGAGTTTCTAATCTAATTGGCTTCTGCCTATGGTTTTATACCCAAAGTTTAATCAACACCCTTGGGTTTCAACCTATTTTGACTTTTGTCAAATAATTTTATACTTTGGGTTTCGTTGATTGATTTGGCTTGCTTGCTTTCTGTTTTAACCTTGCTGAGCCTGTACACATGCCTTTTTGAGTAATTTGGGATTCTTTTGATCATTTAGGCTTAATCTGTCATTGGTCTTCCTCGATTTCACTGATTGGCTCTAGCTTATCAGCCTGCTTCTTAGGTCCGTGCCAGTTCAAGTTCTTTAACCATTGTTACTCGATCACCTGACACCGACTTAAGAAGGTTTTGTTTAAGGTATAAACAAAAAATTTCTCAAGTATAAAACATATGAAATAATTAAATATTTAAACTAAAACATCACACAGTAGAATAAAACATTATGGGAAAATCCACACATCATGCTTAAATAAAATTGAAAATAAAGAAACAAATAAACAACATGCTTAGCTTTTTATTTAACGATTCACCACCTTCAAGCTTTGTCGTTCTCTTTTATGTCGCTTTTTTCTATCTCCAATTTGGGGTTTATTTAGTCAATTTAGCTACATCTTCATTAGTTGAAACGTTTACCTTTTACATCATTGTGAATCAATGGTGTTAGGTCCTGCTCCACTTGTGGTTGGCTGGGACCTATCCTTTTGTTGCTTATACTCAAGATGGATTGTCGCTTCTGCATTCCAACCGTTTGTGATCATCCCCTCCTCAGATGAACATAATATTTTACCAGAACACCAATCATGTAAAATAATTATTTAATAATGACCTACATAATTAAGTTATTAAAGAATATTTGACTAACCTATTTTAAAAATTGAAAACAAATTTAGATTAGAAAATTTTAAATTCAAGACATATATTGCCTTTTAAAATAAGTCTGATCGAGGCCCGCGCCCTACTTGCTTCCAGCACCCACTCGCGCCCCAATCTTGCCAACGCCCATACTCTCCCACCATGCTAACCTCACAAGAGGCCAGAGCCCCCGCCAGCATGTGCACCCA